GGTATCGGAATAGCTCACAATTCAATATCAGGGAAGATCGTGTACGGTACAAACAGTGTTACTGAGGGGTTATGAAATTAGAATTGGGCATCCGAAAGAAAATAATACATTCCACCACATAATATTAATGTCCCATAAAATAGTATGTATTTATCGGCGTCGTATCTATTTCAGTATACCCTGGAAATGTATACACCCCTGCGCACATTCTCTCCCCTTCCATCTCGGGAATACGTTGTTTTTTATATTAAATTATTCATATGCGTCTTACGTGAACAAGATAGCTTAAAGGGCAACTGCAACTCTATTTGTATATGTCGGGCTTAGAACGAATCGGCATTGGTGATTGCATATCAAACAACAACAAACGTAAAATGAAAAAGGTACCTTGTAAAACCTCTAATTTACATCACAAAATCGCTGAGATGTACAGGAATTGCGCAGCACCTTATTCTAAATATTTTTTTCTTCTTTTTGGCTTGGTATCCACCTCTTCTTTCTAATAGACCAATCCAGAGCAGCGAGGAGCAGTGGGGACTTTCGTATGAACTAATCTTGGCTGACCCTCCTGTGTTTGAGTGAGGTTGCAGAAAATGATTTCCAGTGTGGAATCTACCTGTCTTGGGCTGGTCTGTGATGCACAGGTGGTGCCTGGGTGAGGTGAAATGTCCAAGCACCTTTATCACTGCTGGGTGGCGGAGTCACCTAGATGACCTGCATGTTGTCTGGAATGTGACAGAGACAAGTGCAGAGTTTTGCACGCAAGAAGCAAGAAGTGTTTATGTTGACACACCATTTATATCTTCAGAAAATGTGGGGAAGCCATACAATTAGAAAGGTAAAACGATGTTGGGATATGATGTTGAAAGGATAGAATTTAAATCAAGGGATTTTATGTCAAAGTTGTGTAGTGAACTAGTAGGACCTCTTTTAGAATATCGTGTACAATTTTGGTCATCATGATATAGATAGATATCCACAAGTTGAAAATTATACCATCCTTCTCATTAGTCTTTTTCACCCCATTTCACGCCGATGAAGTATTCACTCTTGCC